CTGGGTAACAAGAGTGAAACTCCGTCTTAAAAAAAAAAAAAAAAAGTTTAAGGTACACAACATAATGTTTTGATCTACCTATCCATTGTGAATTTATCAGTCAAGCTAATTAACATATCCATCCCTTTGTTTAATTACCTTTGTGTGCAAATGCACTGTCTTGGAAAATTTCAGGTATACAGTACATCATTAACTATAGTCGCATTTTCATACATCTGGTCTCCAGAACTGAGCCATCTTATAACAGCAAAGATAAACCATTGACCAACATCTCCCCATTTCCCTCACCCTTTGGCTCCTGGTAATCACCTTTCTACCCTGTTTCTAGGAGTTTGACTTTTTTAGATTTCACGTAAGTGGTCATGCAGTATAACCTCTATGTCTGCCTTATTTTACTTAGCATAACATCCTCCAGGTTTCCTTTTTTTTTTTGAGACGGAGTTTCACTCTTGTTACCCAGGCTGGAGTGCAATGGCGCCATCTCGGCTCACTGCAACCTCCGCTTCCTGGGTTCAGGCAATTCTCCTGCCTCAGCCTCCCGAGTAGCTGAGATTACAGGCACTCGCCACCATGCCCAGCTAATTTTTTTTTATTTTTAGTAGAGACGGGGTTTCACCCTGTTGACCAGGATGGTCTCGATCTCTTGACCTCGTGATCCACCCGCCTCGGCCTCCCAAAGTGCTGGGATTACAGGCTTGAGCCACCACGCCTGGCCGGTTTCTTTCTTTTTTAAAGACTGAATAATAGGCCGGGTGCGGTGGCTCGAGCCTGTAATCCCAGCACTTTGGGAGGCCGAGGCGGGTGGATCACGAGGTCAAGAGATCGAGACCATCCTGGCCAACAGGGTGAAACCCCGTCTCTACTAAAAAAATACAAAAAATTAGCTGGGCAGGGTGGCGCGTGCCTGTAATCCCAGCTACTCGGGAGGCTGAGGCAGGAGAATTGCCTGAACCCAGGAGGCAGAGGTTGCAGTGAGCCGAGATCGCACCATTGCACTCCAGCCTGGGTAACGAGCGAAACTCCGTCTCAAAAAAAAAAAAAAAAAAAAAAAAAAGACTGAATAATAACCCACTCACTGTATGTGTGTGATCTCAGCTCACTGCAATTTCCACCTCCTGGGTTCAAGCAAGTCTCCTGCCTCAGCTTCCCGAGCGTGCACCATCACACCCAACTAATTTTTAAAATATTTTTAGTAGAGACGGGTTTTCACCGTATTTGCCAGGATGGTCTCAATTTCCTGACCTCATGATCCCCCTGCCTCGGCCTCCCAAAGTGCCGGGATGACAGGCGTGAGCCACCACACCTGGCCATATATAACATTTTCTTTACGCATTCAGCCATCGACAAACACCTTGTTTCCGTATAGCAACTATTGTAAATAATGCTGCAATGAATATGAGGTCACAGATTCCTCTTCAAGATAGTGATTTCACTTCCTTTGGTTACATATCCAGTAGTGGGATTGCTGGATCATATGGTGGTTCTATGTTTAATATTTTGAGGCACCTCCACTACTGCTTTCAATAATGGCTGTACCAATTTACATTCTTATCAACAATGTATAAGGGTTCCCTTTGTCCACACCCAACACTTATCCTTTGACTTTTTGATAACAGCTGTTATACCAAGTGTAAGATAGCAGCCAACTGTGGTTTTGATTTGTACTTACCTAATAATGTGATGTTGGGCACCTTTTCATACGCCTATTGGCCATTTTTATTTCTTCTTTGGAAAAATGTCTGTTTAGATACTTTACCCATTTTTAAATCCATTTTTATCTATTGAACTGTATGAATTTCTTAGGTACTTTAGATATTAACTTCTTGTGCAGATACTTTCTCCCATTCCATAGGTTGCCTTTTCATTTTGTTCATTATTTCCTTTGCTCTGCATAAACTTTAATGTAGTTTCACTTATTTTTTGCCTTTCTTGCCTGTGCTTTTGGTGTCAACTCTTTAAAAAAACATTGTCAAAACCAGTATCACAGAGCTTTTCCCATTTTCTTTTAGGAGTTTTATGATCTCAGATCTTACATTTTAGTCTTTAATCCATTTTGAATTGATTTCTGTTTGTAACATAAGGATTCAATTTCCCTTTTTAACATCTAGATATCTAGTTTCCCTTACACCGTTTACTGAAGAGACTGTACTTTCCCCACTGTTTATTCTTGGCATCTTTGTCCAAGATTAGAGGACCATAGATTCCTGGGTTTATTTCTGGGCTTCCTATTCTGTTATATTTGCATCTTATATCTGTTTTTATGCCAGTACCATACTAATTTGATTACGATATCTTTGTAATATATTTGAAGTCAGGAAGTGGGGTGCCTCCAGCATTGTTCTTGTTCAAGATTGCTTTAGCCATTTGGGGTTTTTGTGTTTCCACATGAATTTTAGGATTATTTCTTCTATTTCTGTGAAAAATATCATTGGAATTTTCATAGAGATTGCATTAATTTGTAGATCACCTTTACATAGTATGACATTTGACAATATTCATTCTTCCAATCCATGAACACTGGATGTCTTTCCATTTGTTAATGTGTCTTCTACTACTTTTACCAGTGTTTTAGAGTTTTCAGTGTTCAGATCATTCATCTTCATTAAACTTATTCTCAGTATTTTACTTTTTTGATACTATAAGTGAATTTTCATATTTTCCAGATAGTTTCTTAGAAATGCATTTAATTTTTGTATGTTGATTGTTTTATCCCTCATTACTGAATTTACATGTTTTAACAGTTTTTTCATGGAGTTTAATTTAGAGTTTTCTAGGTATGTCATCTACAAACAGATAATTTTATCTTTTCCAATGTAGATGCCTTTTATTTTGTTTTCTTGCATAATTGTTTTGGCTAGAACTTCCAGTCATGTATTGAATAAAAGTGATGAGGATGGGCATCTTTGTCTTCTCAGTCTTAGAGGAAAAGCTTTCAATTTTTTATAATTGACTATAATACTAGCTGTGGCTTTGTCACCAATGGCCTTTATTGGTATTGAAGTATAAACTCTAATTTGTTGAGGGTTTTTTATCACACAAGAATGCTGAACTTTACCAAGTTCTTTTTTTTTTTGAGACGGAGTTTCGCTCTTGTTACCCAGGCTGGAGTGCAATGGCACGGTCTCGGCTCACCGCAACCTCCGCCTCCTGGGTTCGGGCAATTCTCCTGCCTCAGCCTCCTCAGTAGCTGGGATTACAGGCATGTGCCACCATGCCCAGCTAATTTTTTGTATTTTTAGTAGAGACAGGGTTTCACCATGTTGACCAGGATGGTCTCGATCTCTCAACCTCGTGATCCACCCGCCTCGGCCTCCCAAATTGCTGGGATTACAGGCTTGAGCCACCGCGCCCGGCTACCAAGTTCTTTTTCTGCATCTATTCTAATAATCATTTATCTTTCATTCTGCTAATGTTGTATATCTCCATGATTTTGTTTATCTTGAACTATCCTTGAATTTCTGGGATAAATCCCACTTGATCATGGTGTATGATCCTTTTAATGCACGTTGGATTTGGTTTGCTAGTATATGAGGAGATTTGTATCTATTTTCAGTAGGGATATTGGCTTGTAGTTTTCTGCTCTTAGTGTTTTTGTCTGGTTTTGGTATCAGTGTAATGCTGACCTCATAAAACTTATGAGTTTAATAAGGAGCTTGGCTGGACTCCTCTTCCATTTCTTTGGAAGAGTTTGAGAAGGATTATTATTCTTTAAATGTTTGGTAGAATTCAACAGTGAAGCCACCAAGTCCTGGGCTTTTCTTTGATGGAATGTTTTTCCTTACTGATTGAGTCTCCTTACTCATTATTGATCTTGTTGGGTTTTCTGTTTATGTTTCAGTCTTAGCAGGTTACATGTTTCTAGGAATTTTTCCATTTTTTCTAGTTATCCAATTTTTTGGCATATAATTTTTCATTATTCATTATAGTCTCTTATCCTTTGTATCTCTGTGGTTATCACTTGTAATGCCTTCTCTTTCATTTCTAATTTTACTTTTGTCTTGTCTATTTTAATGTTAGGTAGTCTGGCTAAAGGTTTTTGTTCGTCTTTTCATACAACAAACTTTCAGTTTCATCCATCTTATCTATTATTGTCTTTTTAGTCTCTCATTTATTTCTGCTATGATCTTTATTATTATTTCCTTCCTTCTATAGACTTTGGGCTTAGTTTCTTCTTTAAACTTCTATTGACCTTGGGCTTAGCTGCCACTTTTTCTAGTAACTTGAGGTATTAACATTAAGCTGTGTAAGATCTTTCTTACCCTTGCTCTCTTTTGCTTCCATTGACATGGAATGTTTTTCCCATCTTTTTACTTTCAGGCTACATGCATTCTTTTTTTTTTTTTTTTTTTTTTTTTTTTTTGAGACGGAGTTTCGCTCTTGTTACCCAGGCTGGAGTGCAATGGCGTGATCTCGGCTCACCGCAACCTCTGCCTCCTGGGTTCAGGCAATTCTCCTGCCTCAGCCTCCTGAGTAGCTGGGATTACAGGCACACGCCACCATGCCCAGCTAATTTTTTGTATATTTAGTAGAGATGGGGTTTCACCATGTTGACCAGGATGGTCTCGATCTCTTGACCTCGTGATCCACCCGCCTTGGTCTCCCAAAGTGCTGGGATTACAGGCTTGAGCCACCGTGCCCGGCCCAGGCTACATGCATTCTTAAAGCTATAGTGAGCTTCTTGTAGGCAGCAGATACTTCTTTTTTAATCCAGTCTGCCACTATGTGTTTTGATTAGAGAATTTACTTTTATGTTTGCTTTAAGGAGATAGGGTCTCTGTCACCCACGCTTGGAGTACAGTGGCATGATCATACTCCCAGTACTACCAGGCTCAAGCAGTCCTTCCACCCTAGCCCACCAAGTAGCTAGGACTGCAGGCAGATGCCACCATACCCACATAATTGTTAAAAATTATTTTCTGTAGAGATGCAGTCTTGCTGTGTTGCCCAGCCTGCTCTCCAACTCCTGCTATCAAGTGATCCTTCCACCTCAGCCTCCTGAGTGCATTTATATTTAAAGTAATTATTGATAGGTAAGTACTTACTGTTGCCATTTTGTTCATTCTTTTGTGGCTGTTTTACACGTTTTGTTCTTTTTTTTCTCCCTTCCTGTCTTCCTTTGTGATTTGATGACTCTGTAATGATATGCTTTGATTCCTTTCCCTTTTCTCCATAATACAGGTTCTTGCTTTATGGCTACTATGAAGCTTAAAGCATCTTGTAGTTTTAATAGTTTGTGTTAAGCTGTTAACAACTTAGCTTTACTTGCATACAATTTATACTCTTCCATTTCCCATATTTTATGTTTAATCTTTTGTACTAGAGTTATAAGTTATTTAGACACCACTGTTAAAGTATTATTAGGGTATCTGGATTTGAATATATAAGTAGCTTTACCCCAGTGGGTTTTATAATTTTATATGTTTTCATGTTACTTAAAAGAAAGTATCCTTTCTTTTAAGCTGAAGAATTTACTATTTCCTATAAATCAGCTCTATTACTGATGAAGCCCCTCATCTTTTGTTTGTCCAAGGAAGTTTTTATGTCTCCTTCATTACTGAAGGCCATTTTTACCAAGTATAATTGTTGGCTGGCAGTACAGTCATGCACTGCATGAAGACATTTTGGTCCATGATGGACCACCCATATATGACATTGGTCTCATAACACTATAATGGTGCTAAAAAAATCCCAGTCACCTAGTGACATAGCCACTGTAACACTGTAAAGCACATTAATCACATGTCTGTGGTCTCCACGAACCTGCTACACTGTCAGTCATGTAACAATCTAGCACATACAATTATGTACAGTACAGATGATATATAGTACACAATAATGAATAGTAATAAATGACCACATTACTGGTTTACATATTTTCATATAATTTATTGTTGTTTTAGAGTATATTCCTTCTGCTTGCTAAAAAGAAAGTTAACTGTAAAATGGCCTCAAGCATGATGCTTCAGAAGGGATTCCAGAAGGCATTGTCACCATAGGAGATGTCAGCTCCATGCATGTTACTGCCCTGAATACCTTAAGTGGGACACAATAGAAGGTCTAAGACAGTGATATTCATGATCCTAACCCTATGAAGACCTAGATGAAGTACATGTTTGAGTCTTTGTTTACAATAAATAAGTTTAAAAAAAACAAATGAGGGGCAAGCAAACAGGGCCTTGAAGGTAGGCTACTAAGTTAAGACAGCCCTAGCTGTGCTGTAAGATTTGCAGCACTAGATTTTGATGACTTCATATATACAGCTAAGTATACTAAATGTCCTGAAATATAACCCTTTTATTATGAAATGCAAATATTTTCACCTTTATGGTCCTTATGAGTTACTCCTTATTGTTTTAGTAATTTAGGGATATTAGCCCAAGCCTGTGAAGTCTGTCCCATTTGAACAATGAGAAGTGAGGGAGTGATACAAGATATTCCAGACTCATCTTGAAGATTTCTTCTTCTATATCAGACCCAGCTCTTTCCCCAGTGAGTCCTGTGTTCTGTCATGAGTAAATGGTATTCAGAACAGTTCTGCACATCAGAGGCTCATTCCACTTGAGCTGTTAGCCTTTTCAGTGGTTCAGCCTAGAAAAAAGTCCAAGAAAAAAATAAGTGCATACTATATTTCTAATGTGAGGATATACTGTGTTCTTGGATAGGGAGACAAATTGTAACTGTATTGCCTGTGTATGTTGTTACTCTCTAGTATGAAGAAGCTTCTGAGCCTGCTAGTGTTGAATATCTAGCATGCCTAGACTTTTATGGCTTCTATCATCTTCTCCAGTTGCCTGCTCGGGACTCTGCCCAGCCAGGAAGTAAACCTACAGAAGGAAGAATGGCTGCCGGGTGGCTGACAGCCTGGTCACAGGTACACAAGAAATTTCTCTATTTCCAGAAGCACACTGCCATTCCTCAAAAGAACACATCTCTTGGCCGGGCGCGGTGGCTCAAGCCTGTAATCCCAGCACTTTGGGAGGCCGAGGCGGGTGGATCACGAGGTCGAGAGATCGAGACCATCCTGGTCAACATGGTGAAACCCCGTCTCTACTAAAAATACAAAAAATTAGCGGGGCATGGTGGCACGTGCCTGTAATCTCAGCTACTCAGGAGGCTGAGGCAGGAGAATTGCCTGAACCCAGGAGGCAGAGGTTGCGGTGAGCCGAGATCGCGCCATTGCACTCCAGCCTGGGTAACAAGAGTGAAACTCCGTCTCAAAAAATAAAAATAAAAATAAAAAAAATAAAAAAAAAAAGAACACATCTCTTGCCCCTGACCTAAAGTTTGACAGCCCAATCTGACCTGGCTTCATCTTTGCAGTTCCCAGGCTGTTTCATATAGAAGAGGAAATGCCTGGGAAAGGCCTCTGTTCCCACGTTTGTTAACTTTTTCCAAATATTCTTCCATATTTTTGAGTATGAATTCCATACTTTGCTGAGTCCTGTAAAGACTTTCACTAGGAAAATTGTTTAGTCATTTCTCAAGTATTTCTTGAATTCTGACAGTATGCCCTATCTATATCAGATCTGAATAGGACCAAAAGAGTCCTCACAACCTAACTGTGCAAAGATTAAGCCAACCATATTTTAGAAAAGCTGTTATGACCATGACCCTGAATGAGATGGCCCAGGGAGTAGGATTTAAAGAAGAGAGTTCTGAGAACTCAGTTTTGTTTTGTTTTGTTTTGTTTTGAGACGGAGTTTCGCTCTTGTTAACCCAGGCTGGAGTGCAATGGCGCGATCTTGGCTCACCGCAACCTCCGCCTCCTGAGTATGGGCAATTCTCCTGCCTCAGCCTCCCGAGTAGCTGGGATTACAGGCACGTGCCACCATGCCCAGCTAATTTTTCGTATTTTTAGTAGAGATGGGGTTTCACCATGTTGACCAGGATGGTCTCGATCTCTTGACCTCGTGATCCACCTGCCTCGGCCTCCCAAAGTGCTGGGATTACAGGCTTGAGCCACCACGCCCGACTGAGAACTCAGTTTTAAGACAAATAACAGAAGGCCTCTGATGCATGTCTGACCTTCCAATGCCCTGGGTCTCCTGTCCAGTCCTGTCAGCCTCACCCACCATTCTCCTGGTACATAGTCAAAAATGGACATCTGCTGAGCCAGAATATGTATGTGATGTTTTAGAATGCAGTGACCTTCCAGGAAGTGGCAGTGGACTTTTCCCAGGAGGAGTGGGCATTGCTGGACCTTGCTCAAAAAAATCTATACAAAGATGTGATGCTGGAGAACTTTAGGAACCTGACCTCAGTGGGTAAGGCTGGCCTCATTCTTTCATTTGTTTATGTAGCAAATAGTTTTTAAGCACATATTATGTTCCAAAATCTGTGGGAAAAAATGGCAATACAGTGGTCACTCACAAAATGAACACTCCCTGCCTTTGGGGGGCAGTCTAGTGGCTTCCCATGGAAATGCACTGATTTCATTTTCTCTATCACTAATAGCTTTAGATAATTTGCAGTGTGTGTCTGATCTTCTATATAGGTTTCAAGGGTCACTTCCATATAGGGCATGGACTATGCTTTTAAATGGTCCTCGTGAAAGAGCTCTGCTCTAGTTTTTTTGCTGTTCCTAAAGCTGCACTTGAGTATTTTAACAATCCTCATACATTTCTCCCACATCCTCTCATTCTGCATGAGTAGGGTATCAGCTCTGCAGACATAATCTGATCCCCAAGGTGGATCAGCAAAAGCTGAAGACAGATGAAGGAGGAATTCTACAAAGTGACTGTGCAGGTGAGCCCTGGGCAGAACAGAGTCATCTCGTGGTGCAGCCTTGGCCAGTGAGGGTTGGGACATTTGTGAATGTCACTCAGTGCAGGAAAAGAAATCTGAGGTCATTATTTCCATGAATGCTTTTTGTTTAGTTCTATATTCCAGATAATACTGTCTTATTTCCCAAACCTCCACAATCCTAACTAAAAGACCTCCCATTTCTACTGCTTGTTCATATCACTGGTTGCATCTTCTCTCTCACATTCCTCTACTTAGAGATATTATTTGAAAACAAATCCATAGAGTCTCCCTCCCTTTTTCTTTCATCCCTGCCTTTTTTCCCAATAATTATAAAAATTTTCCTGTCCTGTTTCAGAGTGGGAAACTCAACTTAAATCCAAAGATGTGATTGCTATGCAAAACATTCCTGGGGGAAAAACACCTAATGACATAAAAATGGTAAGACTTAGTAGGAATTATTCCTGGTCTTTGTAGTATAAGCCTGGGAATTTCAGTGAGTTAAAACATCAGCACCCAAAGCAGGGTTAAGAGTTCAGGCACCAAGCTTTCACTAGAAAGCTGTCTCAGTGATTTTCATGAAATTGGAGAAATTTGTAAACCTAGTTTAACACTTGCTGCCTCACAGAAAATAACTGCAAGTAAACATTTACTTAAATAGGATTTTTAAGTATTTAGTATATAATTCATTCTTCACTCAGTATTAGAAAAACTGTATTAAAGAAGCCATTTGTTGGGAAGGAATACAGTAGAGCCTTGGGTAGAGCAGTGAGCTTATTCAACTTGAAAAAACTAATAGGGCAAAAGTTGTATGCATGTACTGAAAACAGTAAACATGTCATGACCATGTGCTTTCTATATATGGCAGAATCCACATGGAAGAGAATTCCTGTGAAAAAGCTTTTGGTCACTGCTTACTCCCTTTTCAACAGGCACAAACTCAACCTGGTAAGAACCTCCTGGAGTGTAACCATTGTGGGAAATTCAGAAAGAACACTCACTTTATTTGTAAGTATGGCAAAGTCTTCAACCATCACTCAACTCTTAGGAGTCATGTGAGCATTCACATTGAAGAGAATACTCTTGAATTTACTGATTGTGGAAAAGCTTTCAATCAAGAGTCATCCCTCAGGAAACACTTAACTCCCAGAGGAGAGAATTCTCATGAGTATGATCAATGTGATATGTCCTTCAGCCTACACTCTTCCTTTTCAGTACATGAGCAAATACCTAATGGAGAGAAAGGCAGTGAATGCAGTGACAATGGCAAAAGCTCTCCCCTTAGTGTCCACACAAAGACTGGTAGTGTGCAGGAGGGTTTGGAACATAATGAACATGAGAAAACTTTAACTGCCCCTTTGTCCCTTCAGAACTGTGTCAGAACTCACACTGAGGAGAACCCCTATGAATGCAGTGACTGTGGGAAGACCTTCATTTTTCAGTCTTCCCTTAAGAAACACATGAGATCTCATACTGGAGAGAAGCCATATGAGTGTGATCACTGTGGAAAATCCTTTAGCCAGAGCTCTCATTTGAATGTGCACAAAAGAACTCACACTGGAGAGAAACCCTATGACTGTAAGGAATGTGGGAGGGCTTTCACTGTTCCTTCATCCCTTCAGAAACATGTGAGAACCCACACTGGAGAGAAACCCTATGAATGCAGCGACTGTGGAAAAGCTTTCATCGATCAGTCATCCCTTAAGAAACACACACGCTCTCACACTGGAGAGAAGCCTTATGAGTGCCCCCAGTGTGGAAAATCCTTCAGCACAGGCTCTTACCTTATTGTGCACAAGAGAACTCACACTGGAGAGAAAACCTATGAGTGTAAGGAATGTGGGAAGGCCTTTAGGAATTCCTCTTGCCTGAGGGTACACATCAGAACTCACACTGGAGAGAAGCCTTATAAATGTATTCAGTGTGAAAAAGCCTTCAGCACAAGCACTAACCTTATAATGCACAAGCGAGTCCACACTGGCCAGAAATACCATGAATGAAGTGACTACAGAAAAGTGTTCATGGTCCTTCATGCCTTCTTTCTCACTTTAGAACACAGGCTGGAGAGAAGCCCTTTAATGGTCATTGTGCTTCTGGCCCAACTCTCAATGTTATACTGGCACAAACCTTATAAATGTTACAGCTCACTCTTTTTTTTTTTTTTTTTGACAGAGTCTTGCTCTTGCTGCCTGGGCTAGAGTACAATGGCACGATCTTGGCTCACTGCAACTTCCACCTCCACCTCCCAGGTTCAAGCAATTCTCCTGCCTCAGCCTCCTGAGTAGTTGGGATTACAGGTGTCCACCACCACGCCTGGCTAATTTTTAAAAAAAATCTTTAGTACAGACAGGGTTTCACTATGTTGGCCAGGCTGGGTCTTACTGACCTCATGATCTGCCTGCCTCAGCCTCCCGAAGTACTGGGATTGATTACAGGTGTAAGCCACCACACCCAGCCTCTGATTGGTTTTAATCAGTGAGTGTTTCATCCTTATACTTGTCACAACTTACTAATTTATAAGTATGTTAATATGTAGATCCTATGAATATTTTATCTTTGTAGTTTAATTGCATTGTGGTCTAAAATGTATAGATTCTATGTGACATCGATTTGAACATAGTTTCTGGATACTGACATACTGTGGCAGACAGAACCAGTTGCTGTCTCAATATCCATTCCTCCCTTCTTGTTCCATTCCTCACATCTTGTTTTTATTTTTTTGAGATAGAATTTCGCTCGTCACCCAGGCTGGAGTGCAGTGGTGCAATCTCGGAGTGCACTGCAACTTCTGCCTCCCAGGTTCAAGTGATTCTCCTGTCTCAGGCTCTCAAGTAGCTAGGATTACAGGCGTATGCCACCATGCCTGGCTAATTTTTACATTTTTAGTAGAGACAGTTTCACCATGTTGGCTGATCTCAAACTCCTCCTGACCTCAGGTGATACACCTGCCTTGGCCTCCCAAAGTGCTGGGATTACAGGTGTGAGGCACCATACCCAGCGCCTTCTCTCTTCAAGTAACAAAGTTTACCATTTGGTTCAAGCTAGCAATATGGACATTTTTTAAAGGACTCATCACCCAGCTTTCCTTACAGCTGTGAGTGGCCAAATGTGTCTCCATCTCTAGCCCATGCAAAGTAGGCAGAGGCACTGGATACAGCCTCTAAGGAAGCTCATGAAAATGGGAATACCTCATCTGGTGTTTTTTTCTTAACTATATTTGCCCTGTCTTATCCCTTCTTATTTCCTAGAAAATATATACCCCAAGAGGAGGACAGAGAAAGGATACTAAATGAAACAACAGGGGAGATACAATATTGTCTGCTTGCGCTAATGCCGTGCTGCTTAACTACCACGTGGTTTAACAGCTCTTGTGGGAAATTCCTTTCATCTGATTTCAGTCCCAATTGTTACATCTAATATATGGTCAAGTTTTAGGAATCTAAGTATGGTTGAAAACATTGTGTTTTCTGAGGCAGGAGGATCACTTGAGCCTAGAAGCTTGACAGCCTAGGCAACACAGTGAGAACCTGTCTCTACAAAAACAAATAATAATTAGTTTGATATGGCTACTTTTACAGGCTGCACATCTGTAGTCACTCTAGAGGCAGAGGCAGGAGGATCACTTGAGCCCAGAAGGTTGAGGATGCAGTGAGCCATGAAGATAGTGAGACCCCGCTCAAAAAAAGTTGCATATTTACACACTTACCAAGAGTGGTATGTTAAAATGTCATACTATAACTGTAGCTTGTCAAACTTGTTTCTGAGATGTCATCTCACTGTGTTGCCCAGGTTGGAGTGCTGTGGTGTGATCTTAGCTCACTGCAACTTCCACCTTCTGGGTTCAGGTGATTCTTGTGTGTCTGCCTTCCAAGTAGCTGGGATTACAGGCACATGCCACCACATCTGGCTACTTTTTCGTATTTTCAGTAGAGGTGGGGTTTCCCCATGTTGGCCAGGCTGGTTTCAAACCCTTCACCTCAAGGGATCCGCCTGCCATGACCTCCCGAAGTGTTGAGATTACAAGTGTGAGCTACCACACCCAGCCAAATTGTTTTTTTAAAAAAATCTGTCTAGGCCAGGTGCAGTGGCGCATGTCTGGAATCACAGCACTTTGGGAGCCCAAGGCAGGCAGGTCACTTGAGCTTACCAGTTCAAGACCAACTTCAGTCAATGAGCCAAAACTTCATCTCTACAAAAAATAGAAAAAAAAGCCAGGTATGGTAGTGTACACCTGTAGTCCCAGCTACTCAGTAGGCTGAGGTAAAAGGATCACCTCAGCCCAGGTAGCAGTGAGCTGAGACCATTTACCAGTGCACTCCCGCCTGGGCCATTGAGTGAGACCATGTCTCATACAAAAAAATTTTTTTTGGAGGGGCACTATATTTGGGTACATGTAAGTATACTCATATGTTTCTGGCAAATTGTCCTATTATTCTTACCCAGTGCCCATACTTTTCCCCCAATAAATTAATATTCATTAATTTACTTGATATAAATGTGAGCTATTGACCTAGAAATGCCATTTTCTCAGCGTATAAGGACAACCAGGAGCAACTTACTGTTTCTCAGCATTACATCAGTTAGTTACACTGTTGCTTGCAATAACATCTGCTAGGTACCGTCATCTTTACATCTCACAACTCATCCTCTCTATCAATGCCTTTATCCTGGTTGGATGTGATGAGAAGGAGATACCAAATACTTTGGAGTTCTTTTGTAAGACATAGGTGAACAATATGTTTGTTGGGGAATAGACCCAGTCAGGCTAACCACCTGAAGTTTCCAGGGGTTCAGTTGTCTGGAGCTTGCCAAGATATTCCCTCTACTTAACCACAAAGAGCACTATGCCTGGTTGGCTTTTTTGGTTTCTGGAGGCACTGTAGTGACACATTTAGTGTGCTACATTGACCCATCTGCAAATGGCTACATTAGTGAATAGTTTCTACCCTACAGAAAAGAAGCAATATAATACCACCTTGAGAATTTAGAAAACAAAAAACAAAAACACACACACACATTCTGGCAATACACGAGAGCAGCCTAACTAGGATAACAAATTTAGACAAGGACAGAAAAGCTTGAAAACCTTCAAAAGTAATTTACAAAATACTAGCAAATGGAAACTAGGTATTTCTTTAAAAAGAAACCATCATGTTAAATTTATCCAGAAATCCAAAATTGGTTCTACATTTTAAAAATCAAAAAATACAGGGCTGGGCGCAGTGGCTGAAGCCTGTAATCACAGCACTTTGGGAGGCTAAGGTGGGTGGATCACAAGGTCACGAGGTCAAGAGATTGAGACCATCCTGGTCAACATGGTGAAACCCCTCTACTAAAAAAATAAATAAAAATTAAAAAATATAATTGATTTTTAAAAGCCATATTATTCATTCACTCATATTAATAATTACTAGGCACCTAAAATGAATGAGGCAGTGTTCAAAACACTTAATGCATTATTGAAAAAATAGGGTTGCTGGGCGCGGTGGCTCACGCCTGTAATCCCAGCACTTTGGGAGGCTGAGGCGGGTGGATCACGAGGTTGAGAGATCGAGACCATCCTGGTCAACATGGTGAAACCCAGTCTCTACTAAAAATACAAAAAATTAGCTGGGCATGGTGGCGCGTGCCTGTAATCCCAGCTACTCAGGAGGCTGAGGCAGGAGAATAGCTTGAACCCAGGAGGCGGAGGTTGCGGTGAGCTGAGATCGCGCCATTGCACTCCAGCCTGGGTAACGAGCGAAACTCTGTCTCAAAAAAAAAAAAAAGAAAAAATAGGATTATCTCAGTAGATATAGAAAAAGCCATAGAGATATTAACTGAGAAAAATCTTTTAAAATATAAACATTGTAGGCCGGGCGCGGTGGCTCAAGCCTGTAATCCCAGCACTTTGGGAGGCCGAGGCGGGTGGATCACGAGGTCAAGAGATCGAGACCATCCTGGTCAACATTGTGAAACCCCGTCTCTACGAAAAATACAAAAAATTAGCTGGGCATAGTGGCGTGTGCCTGTAATCCCAGCTACTCAGGAGGCTGAGACAGGAGAAGTGGCTGAACCCAGGAGGCGGAGGTTGCGGTGAGCCGAGATTGTGCCATTGCACTCCAGCCTGGGTAACAAGAGTGAAACTCCGTCTCAAAAAAAAAAAAAAAAAAAAAATTGTATAAAAAATGCAAAAGTAAACAATAAATGAATGGTGGAAAAGAGAACATGAATTTAAAATCAGGAAGATGACAAGAGTGTCCACTAATAAAAACACTACTTAGTATTTTACTGGACTCTTAGAATAAGTGAGGCAGGCTAGGAAAAGACATAAAAAAAAACCCTAAGGACCAGAAAGGTAGAAGTAAATGTCTTATTATTTATAATGATACGATTACCTAAATGAAATATTTATGTATAAATTATTAGAATAAAAATGTTCAATAAAACTGCAGGATATAACTTTAGTATCTTAATAAAGATCAATTTGCAACTTATTTAAACTCAGGAATAGAAATATGTTTTTTTAAGCCAGTAAGTTTGAGGTAAGACCCTCCACCTGCAAAAAGATTATGACTCGCTGAATATCAGATTTTTTTTTTTTTTTTTGAGACGGAGTCTCTGTTGCCCAGGCTGGAGTGCAGTGGCGCAATCTCGGCTCACTGCAACCTCTGCTTCCTGGGTTCAAGAAATACTACTGCCTCAGCCTTCCAAGTAGCTGGGATTATAGGCATGTACCACCATACCCAGCTGATTTTGTATTGTTAGTAGAGACAGGGTTTCACCGTGTTGGGCAGGCTGGTCTCAAACTCCTGACCTCGTAATCCACCCACCTCAGCCTCCCAAACTGCTGGGATTACAGGCATGACCCACCGCGCTTGGCTGAAATAATATTTAAAAGTCAATACCATTTATAAGAGCCACAATAGTATAACATACAGAATACATTAAAAACTTAGCAAAACTGTTTTGAAGACAGTATTGTAAACATTAAAGATGACCTAAAAAACTTGAGACATTCACTGAAAGATCAAATTCTGAAAAGACTCAATCTCCCAAACTGATTTAGATTCAAAAAAGTTACAAAGTTATACAACTCCACTTCCAGATTGGCTATAAACATTTATAGCAGACTGCTGAACCCACATTAATAAACAGTGAACT